GAGATTTTTTTTTAATTCTTTTATTTTAATTTTTCTATATAAAAAATGTAAAGTTACCCATTTTCCCTTTAAAGATTAGTTAACAATTGATCAAACCTTTGATTATTGGTCAACTAACAGTCAAACTCATAGTTTCTGTTAATTTAGACTCCGAGTGTGAGCTTTTGAAAAGTTAGGTACTACGGGTACTACAATAAAAGTTTTGGTCAAGTTTGCATAAAAGTGAAAGATTTGATACCATGGCTGCAATTTTCCCTAATTATTAATGAATTTACTCTATGTCATAGTCCCACCACCAACATTGTATTGCTAAGAATTCATCTATTTCAACATGAAAATTAGACTAAAAAATTTGATGTTGTCGTCTCAGCTAGCATCATATTTATTGATACGAAGTTATCCATGTTATAAATATGTATGCATACTCGTTGAAAATATAATAGTTTGAACAAATGTCTCAAATTTAATAAAAAAAAAATATTGTCTGTTTTACACGTGGAAAGATGTCAAAGATAAAATATATAAAAAATTCCAGTTAGCCGAATAAAAGTTATTTCAAGGAGTGTTCCACGAGAAACTATTCACAAGATCTTGAAATTGATTGAATAATTGGAAAGGAAGAGGGATTGAATATCCTCAATAGAAGGACCCAATCGATTTCAAATCATCATCTGTTAGCCTCTTTTAGTGGTTGAGTTTCTTTCCCTTCTCAGGGTTAATCCGCTCACTTCCAAGCTCGAACGAAAAATTCAACCATAATTAATTCCTGCTGCACAAAATATTCTATAAATCTCTGTGGCAAATTTAAAACTAACCTATCTGACAAAATTGAGTTCAATTTTATTGACTTTAAAACTAAATTAGACCTATCAAAAGGAGGTGAGTTCAAATTTATTGACTTTTATACTCCAATAAGTATCATGTCTTGAATATTTGCACTAGATTATCAGTGATTAGGTATCACATTCACCATATATAATGTTAGACTATGGTCCCGTCCCGTCCCGTCACATCCCATCCCATTCCATTCCATCTCCTACATCTATCTATCAATAGACAAGGGAATATTGGGTTCCAATATTGTATAATATCTCAAATCCATTGGCCACTTTTAATTTGGATCTCAGTCTTCTTCAAAGTCGTCCTCCACTATCACAATCTACAGTCTGTATATCATGCTTGTTCAATTGGAAATTTAACATAAATCTCGTATCGATTGCGTTTTTAATTATAGACAAATATATAAGAATTTTAATTTTGAGTTAAAAAAATTTAAGTTTAATATGATATCAGAGCTCTAATGTACTCAAACGAGTTACACATCTTACATCGTTTAAATATCGAAATGTAATCAATATATTTTTTTACCAATTATAGTGCATGGTTGTATAGGTGATTGTGCTATATATATGAAATAATACTTTCCATCATCATTTTTCTATAAAAATTCACATGATATCATGGTAGGCAAAGATCTAATCTCACCGTTACACATTTAATTAATTATGCACATGTTAGACTTTGACAAGGAAAAATAGATATCTCCTACACGTAAGAGAGAGTAGTGAAGATAATATCTAAATTATATATATTTGGCACTATTTAAATTTTTAGATCAAATGATTTAACAAAATCCATGACACGGTCAATTGTAACTATTAGAAGGATTCAAAGATGCTTACTTCTTTATGGACAAGAAAAATTTATGTTTTTCTTTATGTTCAATCTTCTTTGCTCTTGCAAAATCAAATCCTTCAGATAATTTTATGTTATTTTATTTTATTTTATTTTTTGTTGTTGTGCTCAATAGGCTTCTAAACGTGAACCACGTCGGCCTGGCATGACTCATCCAATACCCAAAATTGCCTTAAAAAAAGTGTGTTGTAGGCAATGTACACAAGATAACTTAAAACAGTTGTGCTATTTGTACAATCGAAGTTGACAATTAGACACATGGGAGGAGGTCCAGATTGAATAAAAAAATTACCTTAAAACTGAAATGACTCATCCAATGCCCAAAATTGCCTTAAAAAAAGTGTGTCGTAGGCAATGTATACAAGATAACTTAAAACATGTGTACAATCGGAGTTGACAATCCTGGTTGACAATTAGACACATGGGAAGGGGCCCACATTGAATAAAAAAATTGTGAGTCCCCCTCTTGTAAGTATATTGTCAACTGGAGTTGTCGGTTGTACAAAAAGAATAATTCAACTTAAAAAGTCTTGGTTTGAATTGTCGTGAACCTTTAGCACAATGATTTTTTTTAATTGTCAAGATATATATATATATATATATATATATATATAAAAGAAATTTTGAAATCATTTTGGTTCAAAATATGGCATATACACTACATATTGTCCTCGCTAGCAGGGGCGGATTTAATGGGCGGTGAGCTAGGACGGCCGCCTTAGCTGGATTTGTTGGGAATAATTTTTTTTCTGATAATAAATAGAATTTTTTAGATTATATATTTGTTAATTCATATTAACAACAAACATATCTAGTAGCCTATTGAATTGGTGCTCATGTGTTTGAAACTCTTCAAGAGTAATATTTTATATAATTTTTGTATTTCAACAATTTTTACCAAAATAAATGTAAAGAAGGTGATTCTAACCTATTACCTTCCTTAAACGCATTGACCACTTTACTATCATGACACTTATTGATTTTTAGCACATAATGTAAAAAAAATAATATATGTTCAATTTTAATGGTTTAATGCAAGTAGAAACATTTTAACCGATAATTTGTCCCTCTTCTTGATTTTATTTTTCTTTTCTTTTTTTCCCTATAATCAATTGATTTGAGAGTTCCGTCAATTAATGGTAGATGAATTTATAGAAAAATTGACCTTAGTATCATAAGTAATCTTTCATCAAAACTTATTTAATTAATAAAAGCTTCCACTTTTTGTTCACAAAAAATCGATTGCGAAAGAGTGATATCGTACAATCACATAAATAATTTCAATTTGTTAATATAATAATACTTGTTTAATTAGCTTTAATTGTAAATTGAATATTGACGTTTTGTTAATAGATGTTACCTATTTATATGGAACGATTTTTTCATCCAAAATGAAGTTCGTACATAGTTCTAGTTTAGTGGTGTATCTAGTTCTCCTTGTTCTAATCCGTACGATTTTTTAAAATATTATTTAATTAAATATTAATAAAAAAACCCCGCTATTACGAACGTTGGCCGTCAATAGTAAATTTTCGACGCTCGCGATCTGCTTTGTTAAACTCGACCTCTAGATTCGCTCCTGCACGCTAGACTTTATTATATATATTTAGTACAATAATACATTATGATAATTTGACAATATATAGCAAATAACGTGGCATTGTAGAATTACTTCACAACTACAGGACCACAAATACACACGCACATGCGTGTATGTTAATTTTATTTTTAAAACCAGGTTATTATTTTTTATTTCGAGAAATCAAGTTCAACAGTGATCAACCTATCTATCACCATTAGTTTGACTGACATAATTTGTTAACGTTGATGTCAAAACAATGGTGGGACGATGTGTATGTCCACATCACCCACCTCACAATACATATTTAAAAAATGCACCCAAAAACAAATTGACTTGTTATACTCCCTAATACGAAAACAAAATATTAATATATTGGCAAACGTGAATACTCTCTAAAGTGGGCAAAACACTTGGTAGAGAGACCCAATCTTAAGTGAAATAAATAATGCGACTAGCATTTGCATAGTACAAAGATGGTTTAATTTGATTCAAAAATTCATGTTTTGGGACTCATTATACAATATACTTAAAATAAGAAAAAACATTACCAGTAGTGTTTCATTTTTCAAAACACATCACTCAAATTATTTTAATATCCACATCAACATATGACGGTAGTGGATAGAGCGATCATGGTTAAAAGTACATCGAAGTTAATTGACCTTATTGTTAGAAAGAAAAGATGAGTGATTCAATAGTACATACATTGAAAGTTTAATGATCGACGCATCTAAAAATCCAAATTTTGGAAAATTGAAAGGAAAAAAAGTCTCAACTATAAGTCGGATTGGCTGAGCTTATAATAATGTATTAATAAGTAGCTTTATATATATAACGTGTCTCATTCTAGTCCAAATTTTGATTTTGGTCAAGTAGTAATTTATTCATTGAGTTGGATATGCTCTAGGGTGTTTTCCAGAGCCTTCTTAAATTACAATTTACTATTAATAGCTAAATAAACGTATCCTATATACATATTTAAAATAATATGTCCATAATTATTTGTCCATGGTCGATGTCATTGAAGGCCAACTTTTATAAAATTAATCATAATAAGTATAACGTAGAGATATGAGCAGATTATTTTAGTGGGTTGTTACTTTATTTAAATAATTGCTTACATAATCTTATACTTAATCAAGTAATTAGTTGTCCGAATTGGAAGTTTGCTGATGCATGAATACTTTTGAAATTGAATCATTGGGTGTTACAGTGAATTTCTACCGAAGCACTGCCAAAGATAGAGCTTACTTGGTCGTCATACGGAAGTAAGATGTGACAACAAATGAAACTTCGATTTTAATATTATGGAGTAGATAAAAATTAACTCATGCTGTGAGTAGTTCGTTTTTTCATCATCTCTAAACATCAATTTTCACAATGATTTTTTTTTTTTTTTTTTGGTGCATACGATATCCAAAGAATATGTGGATTGTGTGATATGTTTCTACTCTTAAGCAATTACGCGAATATTTTTTTTCTAAGTTGATAAGTTGTTAGTAACACACTTGGCAGTCACTTATAGATTGATCTGATGACACATTTTTCAACCACTAATATAGGAACATGAACAATCTTAATTTTTGGTCAGCCATGCTACTCGTCCAGGGCAGCATGGGCCCTGGATGATCTGGGCGCTACTAGTGGGGGGGGCCTATAGGTGACACCCTGACCGTGCAGGTCCAAGCAGAATAATTCATTTTTGGTTAAACAAATAGTATCATCGTTACGAAGAAATAAAGGTTGAGGATTTTGTCACATCTTTACAGTCTGTTGGTACTTTGATAAAGTAGAGTGCAGCCGAGCAGTGAGACTGAGAAGGGCGGACAGTGATGCTTAAGAAGGTTGTAGGTAGTACAGATGAAGCACTCGATATATGAGAATGGAAACTATAAGTGACTGACACATGGGTAGCTTATGTAATCGAGATTCATGTCAAAATGTGGCTAATCTTGAAAGTACACTTGAGCTTGTCTTCTAATTCTTGTACCAGAAGAATAGTACGTTTGAGAAAAGAAATTACATTCCCTCCACAAGCTTAAGCTGCTTTCCGTACTTCACTTCATTGCTGGTTAAATTTTTTCCCCGAGAGGGAGGTGAGTGACATTTTCGCTCCACTTCAAGGCATTGTGGGTCCTTCCACGGCGGGAATGCTCCTTCCCTTGTTAGATGCTGATGCCAAAAAAAATTAGACACAAGTTCTGTAGCTGATAATTAACTTATAATTGAAACTATCCCAAAAAAAAAAAAAAAGATGATGTAATAACACAAGTTTGTCTTTATGTAAAAGGGATCATTGCATACACGATATTTATGTAAAAAGGGATCAATGGGTACATAATATTGTTTCCACGAATGTAACAAATTATCCATCTTGGAATGATTTTCCATCTAGTTCTCTCCATTATTGTAATCTCTTTCGACGTGGTAATTTTTTATTCACGATGTTTTCAAAGATAAAACAAAGAAAGTTACACTTACTTGAAGCCAAAAGAAGAATCCACGCAAGAGGTTCAAGCATCTTGGTTTGTTGCTTTGGCATCTTAAGAGCGCTTCTTTAAGATCTGTACACAATATGATATATATGTCAAATCAGTTATCTAAGAAAAAATCCTGAACTAATGGAGCGAAAAAATAAGTAAATTGACTCTCAGAATGAAGCTTTTTAATTCTAAAAAAATAAAAAATAAAAATTGGTGCACGAAGAGTGGGAGAAATAAAGATGATTGATATCCACACAACAAATTTAAAGCTGATTACATTTTTATCTTGTTCTGTACATTTCTTTCCGAATAGATTCATTTAGGAATTTCTCATACAAGTTAGAGTAAGTGTTAGGTTTATAAATTTCCATGTCAAGCCAACCCCAGGTGCACAATGCTGGGCAGCCATTCGGACAGAATTAGCATGTTTGTATGCAGCAATTATTATTTTCAGAACTGTAACAGGGAAAGGACATAAAAGATTTACTTTAGTCCATGGAAGGAACATGACATAAAAGGGGATTACAAGTTTAATTGATTTATGAAAAATGTAGCACTAAAATGCAGGTAAAGTTATCCAGGTGAATTTAGCATATACATGGAATAGTCATGATATTCATGAACTTGTCATTGCAGAGATCAAACATGGATAGTGAGGAAACGTTGTAATACCAAACATAAATCTGCAGGGTCTTTCAACTTACCCGGATAGTGATCAAGATACGATTTTCCAACTTCATTTTTAGGGTATGCTCTTTCTCTCCCATGACGCAATTCCAAATGGCGATCTACTGGCTTACGTATTCTGATGGCTTGCCGAAGCTTCTTGTACTCCTCTCTATCATATGGTTTTCTGAGAACATGCACGAGCATTTTCCTAAATCTAGATTGCATTCCAGGATTGACCTTCTCCACTATCTGTGTAGGGAAGATATCATCCGAATCGCTATCATCTGAATCGCTATCTCCTGTTTCATATTTAATGAAAACTCTCGAACCATTTTTCTCACCCTTGAATACATAAGACGTTTCGTATGCTTCAAGATTGGACAAGAAAAGCTCATATTGGGCATCATTCTCCTCAATATCTCTGTCATCATCATGCACACAGATGTTATCTTTTTCTCTTTTCCTCTTATTTGATATAACCCTTTCGTACAGATTGTCTTTTGACCGGAGGGTTCCAGATCTAGTTTTTAGAGAAGCTGACTGCGAGGTCATAAAGTTCCTGGCTTCTTGTTGTTTACCCTCTGAACTAGCAAGTTCTAAATCATAATTAATATCAGAATTATGCAACAAAATCCCATCAAGGGCACCATTCTCCTTATGAATGCTTTCATTATCACTTTGTCTTCCCCCCTTATTCGAAATAGAACTTTTATCCCTCGTTAAAAGATACAGCACAAGGTCCCTGTACTCCTCATTCACATTCTTTGCCTTCTTAAACTGTTTTACAAGCTCATTTGAATCCTTGCCTAATAGTTCAACCTTTAACCTATAAAGTTCTAAATCATAATAAATATCATGTTTAAGAAGATACCGCCAATCCATTTCTATAAAATTACTCCCTTCACCAACATTTCCACCGATTATTAATAGTACATTCTTTTAACTTTCCACCTCTTCAGAAAACACAATGTAATATCACCCTTTCAGAGTTATATCACATTCTTATTCGATTCATATCTCCTGCAATATAAACCCAAACGAAAAAAAAATAAAAAAAAATAAACCTCTTAGCGAAGCAAGTAATTGTTGAAGTAGAAAAGTTGGATATACTTTCTAGAATTCATTCACGCCCATAGATTTCATACCAAAGGGGATAGAATTTAAAGCATGCTTGGGAGTTGTTCATGTTCTGTTTAATTTACAATTAGGTTTAACTGGTCAGGCCTTGGATTTGCTTTCCAATGGTCACCAGTTCGAGTCCCCTCATGGCATTGAGGTGAGTGCTGTAAACTTCAGGCCCCATTTGAAGCATCTAAAAATAAATCCCAATTCTGGCCATTCAAAACCTTCAAGAAGTAGCCAAATGGATATGCAAAACTCATGCACAACCTCACCAATGGCATGCGTCTCAAGCTTCAATATTCTATTTATGTAAGAAAAATCATATTTCAAAATTAGGGTTTTTACATTCAAACCCACGAAAAATCCGAAAATAAAAAATGAAGACGGAGAAGAAAGGATTAATGTCAACATGACTTGGTCTATCTGTGTTACCAATTGATAGAATTTAATTAACAACATCAAAAGTTCCCATTAGCAGATTTTTCCTCTCGCATATGAACAAAAATATTCCTAATCAAATACAAATTATACTTCACAAATGTAAATAGGATGTTACCTTCTATAACTGAAGACAACGGCCGCACCACAGCTCCGTTTCACAAGAATCTAAGGCCAAACGCAGTCTACCCAATCCTTCCCCTTTAACAGTTTAACGGTGCTGAAAAGTTAAAAGGCCATTTCGTGAAGGTACACTGAACTGAAGCAGCCACTGACCACTGTCCCCAAATCCCACATCGAAAGCTTTTGTGAGCCAAGACTAAAATGGGCTTTATCATACCATACAAAAAGGTTCTTTGGCCCAATGGGCTAATCAAGTAATAAAGAAAAAACAAAATAAGTTCATAAATTTAAACATTAAAATTGGAATAGAAAACTCAAAACTGAAATTTCCATAAAAATTAGAGTATCATCAGCCAATGAGACACAATTAAACAAGCTAATGATATTTAATTAACAAAAACTGTTAACTTGATGATTGAAACTTCTAGTGTGTGAGTTGATCAAACAAAAAGAAAATCTCAATTTCACGATGTACCGTATGACTCAAGAGTGCATACTCGTAAACTTATGGGCCAACACCTTAACCAGTGCAAGCTAAAAAACGGTGAATATTTGTCATATTTTGCCATTCTATGGGCTGTTGGCCAATTCTGATGATAACAACCTTATACCTTTTGACAAATTCTTCTGTTTTAATCTATCCAGTTTGTTTTGTGGTCCTCATATTGATTTCCCCCAAGTTTGTTTGGTTCTTAGCAAAAGGGATTTTATGAATCCAGTGCTGATATCTGATTTGCTCATTTCTAATATGATCACTGGAAGAAAGAATTTTGGCACACGACACAAAATCATACGATGGTTTTAGGCCTTTTGGTTGGGGCACGGGTAACACGTAAGAACAAATTCTTAGAAACCAAGTTTACAAACATATTGATGAGTTAATACAGGACATTACTGTCTCTGTGGGCGTTCATAAAGACAGACAAATAATAAAACCTTTAAATATTAAGCCGTCGCCACTAGAAATTCTCGAAACCGTTGTCTGCGCCAACTGAGAGATTTCGTTTCAATCTCTGGCTCTGCCCTATAAATTCATCTAAATTGTCCCTTAAATGTTCCATCTCACCATAAAATTAATTCGTTCTATTTCCTTTTGATTAGAGAAATTAACAAGTACAAGAAATATGAGTTATTTCAGCAGAGTTTGTATGGCTGCAACCGTGGCTAAGGTCGAAGGGCAAAGTGATCAATGTGGTAAATATGGTTCCGGCTTAAGAACCCGTCCTTGTGGTAATCTTCGTCCGAGATTTATTAATGGCGACTTTGAATATTCCGGTAGAAGCGAGGGCGGGGACGATAAGCGAAAACAGATTGATGAATCACTTCAAAAGGTCATGTATATCAATTGTTGGACTCAGGGTTAACTATTAAAGAAATCGGGTTTGTCAAAAATATGGAAATATTTCCGTATCGTTAACAATTCGTAGCTCATCGCCCGAGTAAGATGTGCAAAGCGATTGATGATGGTGGTCAAGATGAGATGGAAGTATTTCCAGAAAATAATGGTTGAACAGGTTAAAAGCAGGAAAAGTGTGGAGAAACTGAATTAACAGCATTTGGTTCCTTTTTTTTCCCCTCCAAATTGTCCATTCATGTTTGACACATGTCACCCCTCTTTTGTAGCATTTCTCAATATTTCCGCATCTTTAATAACAATTTGTAGCTTATCAGCGTCTCGTAGACCATAGACAGAATAGAAGAGCCAATCATTAGGCTTCTTCCGGTGTTGATTAGTGCGCATTAGATCTTTTGGTAGATGTAACAAGGAACATAATGAAAACAAGATTCTTGTAATTTCTTGTTTTATTTTCCTAAAATGAAACGTTCGCCAAGAAAATTACTGTTGCATTCAATTTTTTTACATTTCCTTTATGCAATACATTCCAATTAAGCTATATGCTAGGATTCACCCAATGAGTTCGCTGTTGCACGCCGGCCTAATCCCAGATAATTAACAACGATTTTTTTGGCATTCTCTTTAAGAAATTTTGCTATAAATAGGTGTTGGAAAAATTGGTTTTAATTAGTTGGTTTGACCAATTAATTTAGTGGGTCCCGTTAATCGAAAATAAGATTTCTTTGGCCGAATGTGTTCTACTCCATGAGTAAATTAATATGGTATATTTATTTTTTCAAAATCAATTTAGGGTGAATGAGAAATTAAGGTCAAAAGATGCCCACTTGATGTTGAAATAAAATAGGTGGGAAATTGGAAAATACCAATCCCACATAGAAAAACTAGAAGAATATAAACCACCTTATATAGCTCAAGTTTGGGACTTGGGTTTGGGCCCCAAGGAGTACCAATAGTCTTTGAGGGGGAGAGAACCTACATGTTAGTAGGTTAAGCCAAAGCACGCGCGCGCCGCCGCCGTCCAACCGGCTGGCTCGGCTCGGCTCGTCACGGTCGTGGGCTTGGGCCAAGCTGATATATATTTTTTGGTAAAATAACATTTAATTATATTATTTTATTATAATATAATAATAATATATTTTGTGTTATTAATTTTTTTCCTTCCCCGAATTTTCTGTGTGTGACACGTGGTACGGTGCTTCTAGAATTTAGCCGGTTGACTGTCCAAGTGACTTTTGGACACAACTTTTCGACAGTTGTATCTGTTGGGACACAACCTTTCAACATCTATAAATAGGCCACCATACCCCGATTTTAATTCATTCCAAAAATCAGAATTGATTTTCTACTCTCCCGAAATTATCCCTTTGTCCTTGCATAATTTCTGTTTTATAATTCAGTCCTCGAAAATTAGTTTTCGTGCATTTCAGTCATCTAGTGTGTGTGGAGAGATCTAAACTTTACGAGTTCGTCGGGTCTTGTAATTTAGAGTACTACTATTACAAGATGAGGTCGTTGTATCTTAGAAAACGAGTGCTGCAATACCGTTAGTACCAGTGCGGGGCATTATCGTTTTAAGGAGAAAGAGTCGAACTCTTGCCTCGATCGTTCAAAACCATTCAAACGTCGTTACTCTGCCCAAATATAAATTACGGTAACACTATTATTTACTATTATTTTTCAGCAATCTTAAAACGATAATGGGAAGTAGTAGTAAGTCTATTGTACCCCCTAGTACGTCTGTCGTACCCCCTAACAATGCTCACGGGGAGAAATCGAAAAAATTCACGGGAGTGGATTTTAAGATATGGCAACAGAAAATGTTGTTCTATCTCACGACTCTGAATCTGGTCAAAATCTTGAAAGAGGATGCTCCAACTGTTGAGGAGAAGGAAACGGATTCTCAAAAACAAGCAGCATTTGATGCTTGGAGTCATAATGACTTCTTGTGCAGAAATTACATCCTCAATTGCCTTGACAACACACTATACAACGTATACTGTTTCGTCAAAACGGCTAAATTACTATGGGAGTCATTGGAAAAGAAGTACAAAACAGAAGATACCGGATTGAAGAAATTTGTTGTAGGCAAATTCCTGGATTTCAAAATGGTAGATTCTAAAACAATAATGACTCAAGTCCAAGAGATACAACTTATCTTGGACGATATACATGCAGAAGGCATGAAGCTCTGTGAACCATTTCAGGTAGCTGCAATTATCGAAAAATTACCACCAATGTAGAAAGATTTCAAGAACTACATGAAACATAAACGCAAGGAAATGGGACTTGAAGATTTGATTGTTAGATTAAGAATTGAGGAAGACAATCGAAATGCTGAAAAGAAGTCTGGAAAGAAGCAAATGGAGACTAAAGTCAACTTGGTGGAGCCAAATACTAGCAAGAAAAGGAAGCACCCGAATAATAGCAAGCAAAAGAGCAAGGCCAAGAAATTTAAGGAGATTGCTATAACTGCGGTAAGCCTGGTCATATTGCAAAGGACTGCCGGCAGAAAAAGCAAAACAAAAAGGACCAAGTGCACTTGACTGAAGAAGACAAGCTGTCTAACGGAGTGTCTGAGCTAATGCTCTCGGCTGTTGTATTTGAAGCAAACATGGTGGATAATCCGAGAGAATGGTTCGTTGATACTGGCGCTACCGTCACGTTTGTGTGGATAAGGAGATGTTTTCATTTTACACTCCTATCAATGGACGACAACTCTTCATGGGCAACTCAGCAACATCAAAAGTTATTGGTCTAGGTAAAGTAGTGCTGAAAATGACATCAGGGAAAGAAGTAACACTCATCGATGTGCTGCATGTTCCCGATATTCGCAAAAACTTGGTATCCGGAGCTCTTTTAAGCAAGAATGGGTTTAGGCTGGTATTTGAATCTGACAAGTTTGTACTCACCAAAAATGGAATGTTTGTAGGCAAAGAGTACTTAGCCAATGGGCTATTCAAATTGAATGTAATGCCTGTACTCAGTGATTTTGATATTAATAAAAATAAATCTTCTACTTATTTGATTGAGTCTTCTAACTTATGGCACGATAGGTTAGGACATGTAAATGTTAATACATTACGAAGATTAGTAAGTTTAGATTTATTACCTTCAATGTCTTTTGATCAAAATCATCGATGCGAAACATGTGTAGAGGCTAAATTAGCAAAAACACCGTTTCATTCAGTTGAAAGGAACTCGAATCCTCTAGAATTAATTCACAGTGATATTTGTGATTTAAAGTTTGTGCAAACTAGAGGAGGTAAAAAGTATTTTATTACTTTTATAGATGATTGCACAATGTATTGTTATGTCTTTTTGTTAAAGAGTAAAGACGAGGCTTTAGAAGCATTTAAACAGTACAAGAATGAGGTTGAGAATCAACTAAGCAAACGAATAAAAATTGTTCGTAGTGATAGAGGTGGGGAATATGGAGCACCATTTGATGAATTTTGTTCAGATTCTGTGATTATTCATCAAACTACAGCTCCGTATTCATCTCAATCAAACGGTATTGCAGAATACAAAAATCGCACTCTAAAAGAGATGATGAACACTATGTTGGTTAGTTCTGGTTTACCACAAAATTTGTGGGGGGAAGCAACTCTCTCAGCTAACCACATTCTAAATAAAGTACCACACAAAAGTAGGAACGAAACTCCTTATGAGGTATGGAAAGGTCATAAACCTTCGTACAAATACTTAAAAGTGTGGGGGTGTTTGGCTAAGGTACAAATACCAAAGCCTAAACAAATTAAAATAGGGCCTAAAACTATCGATTGCATATTCATTGGATATGCTAATAACAGTAGTGCTTATCGGTTCCTCGTACGTAAGTTTGACATTCCGAATATACATGAAAATACTATCATTGAATCTAGGAATGCTGTATTTTTTGAGGACAAGTTTCCTTGTAAAGATAGGAAAGAAATAAGCCCGCAAAAACGAACTTATGATTCTGCGATTAGTAATCCTCAAAATGATGAAGAA